CAGCTTCAGATGGGGCAATTTCGCCCAGAAACTTTACGTCGCAACAGCAGCAACACGGGCCGCCCGCGATCACAAGCAGCAACCAATTGCTGCAATTTGCCATCGTCATCATAAAATTTTATTTTTCTTGCACTATTTAGACACAATTATGCGTTATAAACGTGTTTTTATGCATTTAAATCTCGTTAAAAATACTAATGCACCTTTCTGAAACAGTTTATTTCCAAAAAAAACGATCGATTTCAAACCAGAATCAAGTCTTTGGGTGTCATCATCACCGGCACGAGGTATCACGTGAAAATTTTGCGTCCCTGATTGGATGCAGCCGCTTCAAACGTATTCGAATTGCTCCGAGTTGCTTGCTTTTTCGAGCCGGACCCGATCTCAGCAATTCGTGTAGATCTAGGGAAAGCTAGAGAACAAAAAATTGCTGAGAACGATGCTCGATCTGAAGGGCGCCTCACGCACTCACCACCCTCACGCACTCGCCGCCCTCACGCACTCATGGCCCTCACACACCTCATTCACTCATCGACCTCACGGCCCTCACGCCTCTCATGTCACTGCCCGCCCTCACGCACTCATGGCCCTCACACCCCTCACGCACTCACCGCCCTCACACCACTCACGCACTCATGGGCCTCACGCCACTCACCGCCGTCACGCCACTCACCGCCCTCACGGCCCTCACGCACTCATGGCCCTCATACCCCTCACCGCCCTCACGGCCCTCATGGTCCTCACGGCCCTCCCGGCCCTCACCGCCCTCACGGCCCTCACGGCCCTCACGGCCCTCACGGTCCCCACCGCCCTCACCACCCTCACAGCCCTCACCGCCCTCACGGCCCTCACGGCCCTCACCGCCCTCACGGCCCTCACCGCCCTCACGGCCCTCACCGCCCTAACGGCCCTCACCGCCCTCACGGCCCTCACCGCCCTCACAGCCCTCGCGGCCCTCACCGCCCTCACGGCCCTCACCGCCCTCACGGCCCTCACGGCCCTCACCGCCCTCACAGCCCTCACCGCCCTCACCGCCCTCACAGCCCTCACGGCCCTCACTCACCCTCACTCACCCTCACACTCATGAATTTTCCTGGTTCAGAAACTCACTCACCCTCACCTCACCTGTGAAGATGAGGGTGAGTGAGGGTGAGTGAGGGCCCTCATGAGTGAGGTTTGCCGAGGTATGCCCGCGAGCCGCCAACTCACCCATTTCCTGTTAAATTGTAAATAAATCAATCTTATCGAAAAAAAAAGCCGAGTGGTTACCGCGTTTGACTTTCGCGCGGAAGGTGTAGGTTCGGTTCCAGTCAGCGGACTGTCCTTTTATTTATTCTTTCGATTTGTCCTTGTCGTAAGTTCGCGAACATTCTCATCTGATCGAGTCCCCAATATTCTACGCACCGAAAGTTCTACGCCGAATGATCCAGAAACCCAGAGGGTACACAAGGGACTCCGCAAGGCGAGCGGAGTCAGTCTTGCTCCAGCGATCGATCCTGATGTTTCGCCGACATCGACGCCTGCGATGCTACCTTACTTTTATTTTGTTTTGGGCAAAATTTCGCTTCATTAAAAGTTTAGTTTCTTTAGTTATTCTTCGCCTCATCATTTGTTATTCGTGACAATATCGAGACCCAATATACCAGTTCTAAAGTTGTCATTGCCACAGACGGAAGTGGGCATTTCTCTTCATAAAACTCACACATTCAAAGGCGCTTAAAATCCTTATAGACAAATCATTCACCCTAAGACATCCAACCAATCAGCGGAAATTCAAACTTCATAGATCCCATACAACAAGAAGGAGGGTGGAGAACGAGAGCACCCGATGTCAACAGCCCCGTGCCGAATGCAATCAGTAAATGTCCCGAGTTTTCCCCCTGTTTTTCAAGAACCTTAGTTTGAGAAGTCTGTCGAAAAATTTCCCAGTGTAAACGGAGGGTCTTTATGTACCTTTCAAGGACCTTCCATCCTATTCTACCAAAGTCTCTGTTTCGTAGGTCTACGTGTGCTGGTGTTGTCACCGCAAAGCCCGAGTCTTACTAGAGCGACAAACAGAGGCTCCGGAAGTCCTTCTTTGGAGGGGGAGGCTCGACATCTCCGAAATCCTCAAGGTTAGGTTGGTTCCAGGTTGACATTAATTGCCATATTTGAATGAAAACATATTAATGCAGCGCGTTTGCATATTCACGCACGTATCCATGGAAAACAAAGTAAAACAATGGTTCAGTAAAATAACAGTAAGAAGCTTGCACTGACAACTCATGCAATGATTGGATAACCACTTAAATCAGCCGCCCCATGTGTTCTTTATTCTTTTCTATACCAACTTTTACATATCAACCGCAGCTGTGCCTATGCCAAATTGGCTATGTCTAAAAAGGAAAACGTTCCTTCATTTAGGGATTCTCGGGGAACCATGATGCATTAACGCAGACGTAGACAAACTAGTGTCAAAAGTTTTAGACCAAACCCCGAGACTCGCGGGAAAAAAAGGACGACACAATACGAAGTCTCAAACACAGCAAGTTGGACCATCGAATTCTCGACTGGAGGCAGAGATTGCATACACCGGTATGTGCCTCAGGATCAAGTACATCGACCGTGATCGCTTCGGACTCTTGGCATCAATGCAAGTTGGGGGTCATCACAAGAGGAAGGTGCTGAAGGATAAGAGCTGTGTTTGAGACTTCGTGTTGTGTTGTCCTTTTTCCCCCCAGTCTCGGGGTTTTGTCTAAAATGTTAAACTTTCAACAGCTCGCTTGCGCCCTAACTTTTTGTTTGTTAAAAGTAACTGGAATGCAATGTCAAAGGTATCATTGCAGAGTCATATTCTTTTAGGTTAACTGCGGCTTTGAAGGGAGAACTCATTGCGACTGTAAAGCGTTAAGGTGAACACATAACGAACGGATCAGAACATAACTATCTCGTGAACGTGGTTGTGTCCTGTTCCTGCTCTCATAACGTAAACCTGAAATTATGACCTATCTTATCAAAACGATCGTACTTAGTTTACTTGAGGGTTGGTACAGGTAATTAGAATTAACCTTTCCAAGGAAAAAATACGCTGACCCGTTTCGATACATTCTACGTACATGTTCCGTTTATTCAATAGAGTGGATACATATATGGTCTAAAAAAATGTTTCATTAAAAACCTGATGATGCCAGATTAAACCACGTCAAACAGAAGAAAAGGATCAACGCGAACATGTATACATGAACATTTCACGGAATGTTACCCCAGGCATCCCGCCACATATAGAGACATGATTCATCACTGCCAGAAAAAAACAAAAAAAAACGTAATGACCAGAAGGTGATACAAGAGCTCCGTTTGTGTTCGAATCAATTATATGCACTAAACGCAACACAATAAACAAGGCGAAAATCATAAATGACAAGTTTCAAAAACGGTGTGTTGCCTCCTATAAAGCCAGATACGTAGTCCTTGCGTGCATCTCGTACTGAGTACGAATCAACCACACAATGATAAACTTTATCACGCGTGTATATTTAATAATTTTTAACAAATATATGCGAGGCAACAAACCAACATTCAACACATTCAGGTTTACGAAATAGGCAAAAATATACACTGGCAGAGAATGCAGAGTGTGGGTCCACGACCGCTCGGTCTGCTGCGCGCGCTTGAGCGAGATCGAGGGGCCGTGGTCGGTGCGTCAAATTATAAACACGAAACTTCCCGTTTCGAACACTTTTTCGAGATAAGAAAAAAGAAACTATCCAACTAGCATGGGCCAAACGTAGCTAAGCGTTCGGCTGTTTTGGCGATAAATTCAATCATGACATTTTTAAGACACAGCTTTCCAGTTCTTTGTCGGTGGGCATGCTGAAGAAGGAGATGCGTGAGGCGGGTCTATGTCATGCGACTCCGTAGGTAAGTTTTTACTCGTCTCAACGCACTGAAAGAACGCTCCCCTGATGCCGCCGATGCTGGCACCGTTAGTAAAAGCTGCAAAAGCCTGACAACTTAGTCCAAGAGATTCAGAACAGTTGGAGACTGTTCCTTCAGTGCTTCCGCGACATCATCAACTACGTTCACCTCTGTGCCAGAAAGAACCGTTGGGAGGAGTACAAGCTGTGCATTTAGCCTATCTAAATCAAAGTCGCTGCCATGGACGCCGAGCGCTTCTTTTAACTCCTTCGCATTGAATCGCTGTCCACGTGCACCGCTGACAAGCGTGCTTTCGAGCTTTACCAGCAGCTCCATGCCAGGTTGGTCAAACCGGCTCTTTATTTCCGACGTTACGCAGTCAACTGCCGCAAAGAATTCCTTTCGAAGGTTGGCCTTCGTATCCAGCACCACTGGGGAAGTAGGCTTCTTCGTCTGTTCAAATCTTGTTGGCGGCTTTACAGTTCTGGTGGTTGTGATCTCCATTTGTTTAAGGCCAAGTTTCACGGAGGCATTTTTGGTTTCGTCCCAAACTCTATCGAAACCTTCGTCTGTTCTCAGATTCATCATAGTTTGACGGAGAGCTTCAGCCGCTTGCATCGTTCCGGTCGCACTGTATTTAGGATTCTGAAGAACTCTGGCAAATGTTCACATGGGCCGAAGAGTTTCTTTGACATGTTCAGTCCAAAAAGTGTCTCAAACTTGTTGAGCAGTTTTTCGTACCCTCTCATGATTGCTCTTCGATCATCTCCAATTGATCCTGGAGTTTGCAAAAGATCGTGGATCGTAGCTTGAACCCTCTCGTAGTTCTGCAGAAATCGTTTCATGGACTTCACTCTCACTGTCCACCTCGTTGGACAGAGTGGCAGAAGATTGCTTGCCTTCACGGGCATTTCCTGTGAAGCGTCTACGCACGGAGGGAGGACTATGCCTATGTATGTGTTCTTCCGTTTCGAAGACGTTAGGATGATGTTGGACACGTCTTTTACTGTACTTAACGCTTCTGCAACTACTCTGCTGCTTCTGCCAACCTCCTGCAGAGCCAAGTCTAAAGAATGGCTGGCACAATGCACGTAAACAGACTTCTACTGAATGTCGCTTATTTTCTTCTGAACACCAGAGAAGCGCCCAGACATGTTTGCCGCACCATCGAAGCAGTGTCCTCGCAAACTACTGAAGTCCAGCCCTAGACGAACGAGCATATCCTTGACTGCCATGAACAGCGTGTTAGCCTTAGAGTCTGGAGGGCTATAAACCCCAATAAACTCTTCCTTGATCTCCAATGACGCATTTTCGACCCAACGCAGGCATAGAGTAAACTGCTCGTCTCCGGCAGCATCGGTTGTCCCGTCAGCGATGATTCCAAAAAAAGGGCTCCTTTTCACCTCTTCTACAATGTCGCGTTGCAGTTTGTGAGCCATGATTTTGATTATTTCATTTTGGATGTCACTGCTCAGCCACTTGTCTCGTCGAGTTAACCAGGTCTTAAGAGCAGGCACATCCTCGGAGCGTTCCTCTAATAAATCAACTAGGTTGCCGTCCTGTAGAGTGTGCCCAAGCAGAGCCTGACCTGTGCGGCAGAGGTACTGAATAGAGCTCACAATGACGCAAAGGGCGTCCCTGGACTCTTGCTGCTGCTTCATAGAATTCCTTGTAAGGAGCTCGACAACACGTGCACCCTTTGTTTTCCCTAGTTGGTACTGCACGGCGTCGAGATGATGCTCTTTTCATGACAGCGAAACTTCTCAAGCGCGTTCTTCCAGTTTGAGAACCCACTCTGTAGAAAGCTGAGCTCTAAGCCCGGGATAGTGACCCCTCTTTCCTTAAACGCAACACTGCATTCGTGACAAAGCACGACGTCGCGATCAGATACGTAGTGGAGCCAAGGAAACATTTCAAACCATGCATGCTGGCAGGACCTGTTACCTTTGCTCTTTTTGAACAGGTAGCTTTTTGCTGGCACAAATTTGCTGGCGGCTGGAGTATCTTCCCCATGACGGCGTTGCTAATCCGGCAAACATGATGTTGAAGGAGCCTCGACGTGTTCAAGATCATCCGAAGCATCAGTGAAGTCAGGGCTAGGAGAAGGTCTGCCGATGTTGTCTGTATTTAAAAACAAGAAACAATTTAATTGAAATATGAATAAGCACTTTTTGCTACAGGCAGACACGTTAGTCAGACGCCGTTTATAAAAGGGTACAGGACGGTCTGGTGTTGTTTTAGTTTGCGTAGGAATGATTGCCCGGCACGCGCGGAGAAGCGTATTTATCGCTCACTAGCTGCTACCACTTTCAAAGGCAGTATGATCATAATTATTTTGAATTTGAAAATTCTCAAAACTAATGAGGAACGAACGGAGCTTCCACAATACAACATCCGAAGAAGTGCTCAACCTGTGCAACATAATTCGCAGAATACTCTTTTAGCGCATTCCTCACCACGTCGCCGCATTTTTGCCAAAGTGCAAGCATCTTGAGCCTTACCGACGGTTCGCTTCTTTGAGCAGTCACTGGATAGGGCTGAGCAAGTATTTGGAGTCCCGCAGTTGATATCAGGGGCTTTTCGCTTTCTGATGAGGTACTTTTCCATAGTGTTCCGAAATCTTCTGAAAAAGTACAAAATAAAATTAGTCTAGCAGCACGTAATAAAAAACAAGAAATGTTTTGAAATTAAGTACCGTATCAAAAGCTGAAAACATTACATTTCCAACTTCTTTTCTGAGAGTCCGGATACGTTATTAATGCAGTAGGAGAGAGCGAGTCAATTCAAGCTGGCGGAAAATATTGGCCACCCATGTTTCTCGCTTATCACACTAGATATTTCCGCCTGTCCTGCATGGACAACCTCTAGATACACACAAACCACTCGATCTCTAAAAAAAAAGAGAGAGAATTTGTGTTAATTTTAAAATTGGGTTATTATGTTTTGACTTTAGAGACTTTAAAGTGAAATGACTTTAAAAATATGCTCTTCATCAGCATAACATTTTACTCGCATATTCGTTGGCATATTGGAGTTGCGCGATGGCTGTTTTTGCCCGTGACTTTTCTCGTACCTGTAACAAGTGCGTATCTGTTAAACACGTGACGGTGTAATGCCAGCCACCTACAGGATGGTAATATGACGGGAGATATAATAGGGAGTTTTAGCGGACCGTTCCGATAACCCTGAAACTATACCCGATACCCCTCCTTTTTCATCGTCTTTAGCGAGTTTTAGTAGACCGTGTTTCCCCCTCCGCTAAGCCCCTCCGCTACCCCGAACTCTACAGCCAAGACCATCGGCGCACAGGCGCAGTGCCGGTTTGTTCGTAGTGGCGGGTTAGCGGATTCCTCCGCTAACCCTCCGGGGAAACACGGTCTACTAAAACTCCCTATTATCGGGTATCAATTTGGGAGCGGAAAAACGGTCGGCTAAAACTACCCCCTGTTTGTTTAACAGCAGTAGTGCAGACTGTGGTAACAGATAACGCGTGACGGTGTGTAAACACTGTTCTTCATACTTCCTAGCTTTTCAATGTAGCCAATGACCTATTTCAGCCTCTCTGCTAGAGCTAGCGCTAGTACAGAAAGTAAAAAAAAAAAGAAAAAAAGGTAATTTTCAGGTTCGCCAAACTACTTTACAATTTTTTTTCTGCAAGTCGCATAATTAGGATTCTAGCCCTGTACCATTGAAAAGGGAGATTTACCTGAAAATAATATTGGTAAATAAAATTAAAATCAACATACAGTAGTGAACCAAAACATATATTATTTCGGTTTTACGTGGGTAACCTTTCTTCGAAGTGTGATACCGATATAAAAATTGTAATGGAATACTACATAACGTATTTATAGAGTAGAAACTGATGCTTACTTAAGTATGAATCAATCAACTAGACGTCGAGCAATACTTCTGTAAAAAAAACGAAATATTATATATTTTTGTTCACTACTGTATGTGCTCAGCGACTTCGAGCTGACACGACTACCAAGCAAATTATGAGCGCACATTCTTCTAGTTAATATGATAGTGCATATTTTTTGCATGTGCAGTGCCTTTCTTCAGAAAAGGAACTAGCTAGCGCAAGATGCGTCCACCAGTGCACGTAAGGTTAAGTCTATATGTTATTATTTTTGTGGCCGGAAATACCACCGTGGGACAGCGTAGTGTTATCAGGCAGCGTAGTGTTTTCGAAAATACGCTGCATGGTATTACTATATATAAAATTTACTCCGATAAACTGATATCTTATTGAAGTAAAAAAAAAGTTTTAACATACACACCACACACTGATACCAGATTGCTGACCAATAACTCTGCCAATAATCCGAGTAAAGCTTCAGAAAGAATTATAGCCACAAAAAGAAAGTAAAAACATAGGCCGATGTTGCCCCGCTCTCCCCTACATGATCATGCGTGTATATTTGTAAAAAAGTGTTCTAATATGCAATTAGATGTCGTTGAGAAAAATGAAACGCAGTGCAATCCCATGTTTCAACGTGATTGAAAACTCCAATCACGTTAGAGGCCAAAATCTACTTCCTGACTTTGCTTTTCCCTACCGGGAGTCATACTAATTACTATAGTCGTGCATGTTCGACTTAATCTTTAATAAAAAATAAAAAAAATCTGGAGAATATTTCATTGAATCGAATAATTACGACTTTCAGGATTCGGGCCGGGACTAATATTTCAAGTTCCAGAAAGTCTCGGCTGAATTTTACGTCAGTCTACCTATTCGGGTAGTATGCATCTTCAAAGAGAAACAAGAATGACGTTTGGTAATTTTGACCAATGTGAACCTAAATGAAGCATTGACACTTTTTCAAAACCGTTGATTACAATGTTTCTCATAAGGTAAATTCATTCAAGAAAATAAATTACACGTTAGGTGCAGAAACTACTCCATATCGGAGCACACGCAATATATGAGGAACCGATTTGGAAGAGGGGGGAGAAAAGACCACTCACCGATGTCGTGCACGCAGAGGTACGATTAAATGTGGGAGACCAGGAGCAGGGTGTTGGGATTGAGCGGTTGTCCTGCTGGATCAGCTCGATTGGGGCCAGGACCAGGGCAGGACTCCGGAGATGAACGTCGCGTCGGAGAGCCGGGTCTCCCGATTGAAAAGCGCTGTCTATTTATATTTCATACACAATCGTATGTTCAGTGCAGAGGGCACAGTTCGAAACTGCACGCCGCTCTTATTGAATGGTAGCTTTTCCCCGAGTCCCTAGGTAAGGAATCCGCATTATGGAGAGGGTAGCCCATGCCAGTAAATCTGGCACTTCCAAATCATCAGGCTCCGCCTCTGTCCCGTCCCACATTGCACACACTTGAACACCACTTAACGGCAAAAGCTGCAACAGAGGCCTGCCAATCACCTTCGTTGACTCGGGAAATGGTGACCTTGACGAAGATAAAACATACTCCCTCGTCCTCACAAGCCGCCCAGATTATCCGAAAGTTCTGGGGGCCTCCTTTCGGTAAGGAACGCGAGCCGTCGGCTTCAGAGTCGGCTTCAGATTCCTTTAATTAGGCGGTTTCAGGTGACACAGTGGCGGTAGTCGGACGCTTCTGAGCGTAAGCTCCTCGGCGCCGTCTACCACCACTCTGTCTCGTCAGCTACTGGGATTATCCGATACTCCGCGGTCTGTCGTTTCGGCAAAGTCAAGACGAGCCGCCGCCTTTCTTTGTCCAGGTCGTTAGAAGAGACCCCGCAGCGCTGGTCAAAAGCTCCTCCAGCTCATCAACGTAATCTCCTGGGCGACGTCTGCCGCGAGGTGTCCACACCTGCGCTCCATTCCTCTCTCCGGAGTATTTGGTTTAGGAGCGCGGTCAATCAGCAGGCTTTTGTGAAGGCAAAACTACGGGAGGCTGGAGCGACATGAAACCTCGAGGAGCCGACATACTGGACCATGAGTGGAGACAGCAGTGAAAGACTCATGCCATTTCCGCTTTTGCCCATCGAGGTTACAGCATTGTCTCCACATGTTTATGTCATGAAAGTTCTCGGTAAGGCGGTAAGCGGATGGCTGGACGTTGATTTCTGTCAGTGTTTATTTTCAGTGTCATCAAAATAAAGGTCATTAGGTAATTCAAGGGAGCACATCTTAGAACTGCATCCAAACCACCCCCGATAGGCCTGTCGCAGTGTGACCTGGCTGCAGGATTCGCCTCTTTTCGTACTCATGTAAGGCATATAAAAATGCCTATACATGGCTTGCACGTGACGTCAAAGCCGTCCTCCTTGCTGGTAGTGGAAGCCTGCCGTTAATGCACTGGAAGCCCCGCTGACTCCTTTTCCGCTCGCTCGCAACGCTCGTTTCCTGTTTGTAGAATTAGTACAGTAAAGTCTACGCTCCACCACCAGAGAGGAGGACTAAATTACGTCAGTGCAAGCTATGTATAGGCTTTTTTTTTGTTTTGCACACTTAGATTAGTTAGGGACACCCAGCTACACAAACTTGCCAAAGACACACGTTTGTTTGGGGGGGGGGGGGGGCACTCCTATTATTATATCTCAGAAAGAGAAAGCTGCAACAGCTTGTCAAAGCAGCGCTCATAAGTTGTTCACCGAGGTAAGTCGGCAGTCTAAACCGGAAGAACGAAATCGTTTCTCCATTCAAATCGGTTTTGAACGGTTGCCATCACGTGTGG